CTGCCACCCCCATGCTTCACCATAGGGATGGTACCAGGTTTCCTCCAGACGTGACACTTGGCATTCAGGCCAAAGAGTTCAATCTTGATTTCATCAGACCAGAGAATCTTGTTTCTCATGGTCTGAGAGTCCTTTAGCTGCCTTTTGGCAAACTCCAAGAGGACTGTCATGTGCCTTTTACTGAGGAGTGGCTTCCGTCTGGTCACTCTATCATAAAGGCCTGATTGGTGGAGTGCTACAGCGATGGTTGTCCTTCTGGAATGTTCTCCCATCTCCACAGAGAAACTCTGGAGCTCTGTCAGCGTGACCATCGGGTTCTTGGTCACCTCCCTGACCAAGGCCCTTCTCCCACGATTGCTCAGTTTGGCCGGGCGGCCAGCTCTAGGAAAATTCTTGGTGGTTCTAAACTTCTTCCATTTAAGAATAATGGAGGCCACTGTGTTCTTGGGGACATTCAATGCTGCAGAAATGGTTTGGTACCCTTCCCTAGATCTGTGCCTCGACACAATGCTGTCTCGGAGCTCTACGGACAATTCCTTCAACCTCATGGCTTGGTTGTTGCGCTGACATGCACTGTCAACTGTGGGACCTTATATAGACATCTTTGTGCCTTCCCAAATCATGTCCAATCAATTGAATTTACCACAGGTGGACTCCAATCAAGTTGTAGAAACATCTCAAGGATGATCAATGGAAACAGGATGAACCTGAGCTCATTTTCGAGTCTCATAGCAAAGGGTCTGAATACTTATGTAAATAAGGTATTCCTGTTTTTTATCTTTAATACATTTGCAAAAAATTCTAAAAACCTGTTTTCACTTTGTCATTATGGGGTATTGTGTGTAGACTGATGAGGAAATATCTTATTTTAATCCATTTTAGAATGAGGCTGTAACGTAACAAAATGTGAAAAAAAAGGGAAGGGGTTCTGAATACTTTCTGAATGCCCTGTATTCAAATAGCTACAGTTGTCTTAAAAACAGAGCATGTCTAATTCAGAAGTATGAGATAGAACCATATGGCTGAACCCAGAGCCATACATTTATATCTGCGATTGCAACCCCATAAAAACAAAACTGATTTACAAATGTCTCAGGAGTTTGATACTCTTCACTTAAGGTACCTTTAAAGGTGAGGACCATAATGGGTTATGAAAGAAGAATTCACAAAAAAAAAAAAACGGTTCTAAGATCCGGCAAGTGAAAACTTTGATGCTCAGTATCTCAGAACTCTGCTTTGCGCAGCTATAACCTTATAGTGCCAAGGTCACGATTTACCACTGTAGCAGTAAATTGCATTTTAAACAAATAGGAGAATGGTTAAATTAGCAATGATTTGACTTTGTTGCATTTAGGGGAGCTCATCTCTCATTCAACTGAGTTAGGAAGGACATCTGTATCTTTGTACTGACTGGGTGTATTGATACACCATCCAAAGTGTAATTACAGTTTTTTCCAACTGCTTACACACAAAATCTTTTCATGTTACACGATTTTTGAAACCTCTCACTCAAAGTGCAAAACTACACACCAAATCTCCAAAACCATAAGCTATTTCTCAGCCTTTGACTCAGTTGTCAATTGCATAAAACACTTTTTTCAAAACACTACACACAATTTTCTACCTAAAGCACAACAATCTAACAGGAAGTGACTTGCTTTCCTTTTCCAAACACAACCAATCAAAATGCTACACTTATTCACCAGGTCACACACACACTCCTCACATTTGCAAACACTAATTGCTTAACTGATCACTAACCAATCACTGCTTTACTGTAGTATAGGCCTATAAATAGGTCAAAGGTCAGATTACCTGTTTTGAACAATGGATGCCAACAATGGACGGAGAGCAAGAGGAGTAGGAGGGAGAGGCAGGGGACAACAACGAGGACAAATTCAAAGACGAAGAGTTGGAAGAGGAGGAGGAGGAGGAGGAGGAGGAGGAGGAGGAAGAGGAAGAGGAAGAGGAAGAGGAAGAGGAAGAAGAGGACGAGGGCAAAGAAGAGAAGGAAGGAGAGCCATCTCTGATAAAAATAGGGCAACACTTGTTGATCATGTGATCAACCACAGTTTGACCATGAGAGAGGCTGGACTGAGAGTCTATTTACAGTGGCGTCCATAATCCAAACCTTCAGAAATGAGAACAGGTATGCAACTATCTAATGACTATTTTAGCATTACAGTAATGTACTGTAAAATACGTATGACTGCATAGTATTGCATAAACATTTGTAACTCTAAGCCATCCATTTACTGCACTGCATTGAATGAATGAGGTTGGTTATCATGCTGTACTACATTTATTTGTACATTGTTTACAGTTCCTATGCTGAACACATGCTGTGTTTGAATTCTGTACAGAGTGGAAAGGCAAAGACATCATGGAGGACGAGGACGCTTGTTTACAGATGTACAAGAGACTGCAACTATAAATATGGTTTTGGCCAACAATGCAATTAGGATTCGAGAGATAAGAGAGCATATCTTGAATAATGACA